TTTGGATTCCTAACTATGGGGGGGGGGCGTGCAGATCTGTCCTCGCAGAGGAGGGAGAGCTTGTACCTGAATAAAACTCGGTCTTAAAGGTGCCACTGGACTGTTTTGGAAATGCTGGCTCTGCAACTTACCTGGCTGCTTCTTGCTCTGACTGAGGGCTGCTGGGAGCAGGGGGTGGGGCTTGTTGCATGTGCCCGCCCCCTGGGCTCTTTACTGCCGGAGCTCTGCTCCTGTGCGCTCCTGCAGGAAATGACCCCTGTGCACATCAAACTGTCCTGTGCAAAGTTACACCAAGGGTCTGTCTAGCTCGGTTACTGGCTTCTGAGCACAGGGCTCCCAAGCACAGAAGGACCTTTCCCCTCACTTGACTACCCGAGATCCTTTAACTGGAGATGCTGGGGACTGAACCGGCGACCTTCTGCATGCCAAGCAGAGGCTCCACCCCTGCGCTGCAGTCCCTTCCCACTAAGAGAGGTGTCATTTCCAGTGAACTTCCTTCTCCTGCCAAACTCACAGGCTGCAACCCAAACGAACAGGCAAAGCGGCTCCCCGTTAAGTCTGTCTGCTGGTCCCATCTAGCTCAATAACTCAGCGTGGCTCTTCAAAAGAGACCTTTCTAAGGCCTGCTGTTGAAGAGCCAGTGTGGTGTAGAGGGGCAGAATGTCAGACTAGCGTATCGGAAATCCAGGTTTGAATCCCCCACTGTCCTGGAGGAACTCACGGGGTGACATTGGCCAAGGACTCTCCGTCTAATCCAGGAGTCCCCAACGCGGTGCCCGTGGGCATCATGGGGCCTGCGGACACCTTTCCTGGCACCCACCCAGTGTTTTTAGAACGTCAGTAGAGGCCAGTGGGGGTCCTGCCCAGCAGGGCTTGATTGGCCACTAGAGATCTGATGAGTGGTGCAGAGTAAAATAACTTTCAGTGGCAGTTGCCACCGCAGTATTGGTGTTATACTCTCCCACACTCCTTTTTCCTTGGGGGTTGGATTAGATGACCTGCAAGGTCCCTTCCAACACTTAACATTCTATGATTCCATGATTCCCAGTGTCTTTCTGTTGTTGTTGTTATTCTGCTTGATCCCTGTACCTGGGCCTCCTCTGTGAATGGCTCTGCCGCCTACGGAAACTGTTCTGCGGTTGCGCCCACCACCCTTTGTCAGAATTCCAAAGTTGCCCAAAGGCTCTAAAAGGTTGGGGACCCCTGGTCTGACCTATCTCACAGGGCTGTGAGGATAAAAATGCAGGAGAGAAGACTGAAGTTGGGAGGTACTTCGGGTCCCGCTGGGGAGAAAAGAGGGATATAAATATTTGTTTAAAGTATATCCATGAGCAATAAGTATAGCTGAGACTGGATTAAAGCAGTTGGTAATACCTGTGAATAGCAGCAAATTAGCATATAGATAATAAAAGAGTTAACACAGAGATGTGAGAACTGAATGACTTAGCATGTGTGAGTTAAGAACCTGATATCTCTGTTAAGCCCTGGGGGTTCCGTTGTCCTAATTTGCTGCTGTTCACAGGTTTTACCAACTGCTTTAATCCAATCTTAAATATACTAATCGCTCAGTTACTTATGCATCTTGACTGCAATTAGCCCTCCGTGACAACTAAACCCCCCCCCCCAACCTATATGCAATGGTTGGTGAAATCTTTTTCAGTGTATCCGAAGAAATGTGCACGCACACGAAAGCTTATGCCCAGAATTAAACTTTGTTGGTCTTCAAAGTGCCACCAGACTCAAACTTTGTTCTGTTGTTTCAGGCCGGGGGCAGAGTGACACAAATGCACACATCATTAGAGCGTTCATCAAAACACTCACTTGAATAGCAGAATACAAGGAATGTCCAGACAGCCTCTTATATTCAGTTCGGACGTCCCAAAGGTCAATTTCTGATCTGGACACCATGACTCGGTTCAGTGTAGCTTCGTCTGTCCCAACCCCCTGTGAACAAGAAGGTGAGGGCGTAAATTATTTTTCGTATCTACAAGCCGTCTCCCTACTTTAAAAACGACACGCAACATTTAAAACATTTCACAAAGCCATCACTGGGCTACATGCCAAATGTAAAACCTCAGTTTTGAAACAAAACATGCAGAAGTGGAAGGCTTACCTTCAAAGCCCTGCGTAGCTTTTCCGCAAAGAACGCAGGAGTGCTTCTCGCACATTTAACTTGCAAAGGGAGAGAGAAAAGAATTAGAGCAGACACCCTCAAGCTGCATTATCTCTGTTGAACAGCCCCTGAGCTCACACACACAGGGTGATTTCTCACGAGAGCTGCCTCGCAGCACAGCGCCTTTTGCCTCGACACAAACGTGTCAATTTCACACCTGAAGCTCCGGGGCTGCATTTGACTCGGGGCTTCGCCCGATTTCCTCCGCAGTTTCATCTGTGCTGCGAGGCAGCTCTCGTGAGAAATCACCCACACGCACAGCTTTGCAGGAAGGAGTTCCTGAAACAGCATATGGGGAACTCGCAAAAGATTCAAACAGGTGTTCCACGGCAGGCCTCCAGTAGACAGCGCACAGCTTATGCTGTTCTTTAGTGGTCAGTATGTTTTTCTTCCTGCTGCCCTCTTGTGGGTAATTGTAGATTGCATTTGCTGTGCACACTCAGAGGGAAGCAGCACACGACAGAACTGTGCGCAAATATGGAATCACAGAGTTGGAAGGGACCTCCAGGGTCATCTAGTCCAACCCCCTGCACAATGCAGGAAATCCATAAATACCTCTTCCCCCCCCAATGCCCCCAGTGACTCCTGCTCCATGCCCAGAAGAGAGCAAAAACAACCTCCGGGATCCCTGGGCCAAGCTGGCCTGCAGGAAAATTGCTTCCTGACCCCAAAGTGGCGATCCGCATTTCCCTGGGACACAGGAACTAGGTACTGATGCAGCCTTTCCTGCCTTTACTCTAAGTTAACTGAGTTCAATGGATTTACACTGGAATAATGCTGCACAGGACAGAATTGTAAGTCTATGCTTTGAGTGTTGGACTTGCACAGGGAAGCCCTGGGTTCGAAGTTGAAGACAATTATGAGTTCCATGGGATGCATGTGATCCTCTCAGATGAGCCACTTAGAAATCATCCTCTGTCTGTGGGACTTTTTAAAGCGTCATTAAAAAAACCCCTATGTATACTCCCCTCTGAGACAGCAACACTGGAAGATCAACACTTAAAGAGAAAGGAAGGAAGACCTATCAGCGTTAGGTTCTGAACTCCACATCGCTCCCCATGTAAAACCTGAGCTTTCCAGGGAGACAAACTGAAGAAGGTCTAATCGACTCAAAGCAAAAAAAAAGTCACCCAAAATTTCTAAGTCCACTGTACACCTAGCATATATCGTGAAACGGAAATTGGGGCACTGTGTCTTAACCCATGGCAAGGAGGAGACACATCTATCTAGGTTCTTGAAGGCTATGGCCACTTGGAACAAGGACCTGGGTTGCCGAGATATCCGTTTCCGAGCCGAAGAGCCAGCGCTGTCCGAAGCCGTTTCCGTGGTCATGTGGCCGGCATGACTAAACTCCAAGGCGCATAGAACACTGTTACCTTTCCACTGAAGCGGTACCTATTTATCTACTTGCACTTTCTTGCTTTCATACTGCTAGGTTGGCAGGAGCTGGGGCCAGAGACAGGAGCTCACTTCATCCCGCAGCACTAGGGTCCTGAACTGCCAAACGTCTGGTCTGTAGCTAGGTGTCTTAACCACTGGGCCACCGTGGCCCCCTACTCCTCGACTTACTCCCAAATAAATGGAAAGTGTAAAGAGCAGCATGTCATAACCATGCTGAAGGACAGTCAAACCTGCCTTGCACTTCTGATGCTGTAAGAGGCTCAAGCCCCTGAGAAACCTGCAAGGTGCAAGCCCTGCCCCCTCTTCAAGTACTCCTCCCAGGGTTGCCAACCTCCAGGCGGTTAGCAGTATACGAGAGATCACGGGAAAAGCAGTTAAGTACAACCGAAAGCTGTGATATAATTACTCGGTGTGACAGTATATATGTAACATTGTATAGTCAATTATAGTGTTTACTAAGCCCATGCTTGGGGAGGGGGGCAGCAGTGGGAGGGCTCCTAGTGTCCTGGCCCCACGGCTGGACCTCCTGATGGCACCTGGTATTTCTGGCCACTGTGTGACAGAGTGTTGGACTGGATTGGCCATTGGCCTGATCCAACATGGGCTTCTCTTATGTTCTTAACTTTTATGTGCAAAGGGTATAACAGATAAATGTTTTAAATAAATGAAGTACCTGTGCCAAAACTCAGTTCTAATTATTTCCTTAGCAGTTTCTTCTCGTGTATGTTTAGTCCAAGCATAGCAACTAGAAATGTGAAGGCCTGGGGGGGGGGGGGGGGGGGAAAAATTCAGGGGGGAAACGGGGGTTGTTTTTTTTTTTCCTGAAGCCTTTTTTGTGTTTTTTGTAAAATTGAAAAAAGAAAAGAAAAAAATTGATTATGGAACGTTATATTTTAACATGATGAATAAAATATTTTAAGACAAGGTATTCAAATATTTTCCAAATCGTTTCTAAAAATATGTATGGTATCAGATTGATCTAATTTCTGTGTACTGAGGACAAGCAAGTCCTAGGTTAAAAACTGAACTCTCCAATGCAAGAACAAGATGCATTTCTTCCTTTAGGAGGTGCTACTGTCACAAGAAAAGAAAAAGGTTTCAGTTTTGTTTTTGCATGTGGGTGGGTATTCTGTTTGTAATAATTGTTTGGATACACTATATTTTTAATATGCTAGTTGTGATAATTTCATGCCAAGTAAAAATGTCCATAGTCATATTTTATGTTCCTAAAGTAACAGAATGCCTTTCAATCTGGAAAATAAAAAAGAAGGGCTAATGTAGCATTTTTTTCAATTTTTCTGAACATTTCCTCCCCCCCCCCCAAAAAAAACCCAGAAAAAACCTGAATTTTTTCCCGAGCTTCAAAATTTCCGGAAATTTTACATCTCTAGTAGCAACGGCTGAGGCTTCCAATCCCCATTTCCGTCCTTTCTCAAGGCAAACACGGCAGTCAAACCAATCTTGTCAAATTTGTCTGTAGAATTCTACTACTCAACTTTGATCCGTCTCAGTATAAAGTTCTTTGCTGTAGCTCGCAGTATCTCTTAAAACATTTATCTGTTATACTCTCTGCATGTAAATGTTTGTATGAATGTGCTTGGTAAACAAATATAATGGGCTATAACTATGTTACACTGAGTAATTATATCACAGCTGTATTTCGGCTGTTCTTAACGGTCTCCCGGTGGAGGCTGGAGCTCTCCTGGGACAGAGATCAGTTCAGCCTGGAGAAAGTGGCCGTTCTGGAAGGTGGACTCTACGGCTTTAGAGCACAGCGAAGTCCCTCCCCTCCCCAAACCCCGCCCTCCTCTGGCTCCACCCCCAAAATCTCCAGGTGTTTCCCAACCCGGAGCTGGCAACCCTGCCCAGCAGGCAGAATGACAATCCACTCACTCGCATTCAAGATCCAATCCCTCCTTGACTGCATCAGAGACATGGCAGATCGCTGCCCAATAGCCAAACATCTCCTGTCCTCCTTACCAATAGCCAACAGCAGATACCTATATTGCCCCGACGTCTCCCTCTTTATAGTGTCCTCTATGGTCATCCCGCTGAGTTTTTGGTATTCAGAAAAGGCTGAAAACAAAAGAGAAAAACCACCAAAACAGTCAGCAGAAGGTGCTTGAAAATTTGAGAATGTTTATGACATTTTTTCATTTTGTGCCTCAGGCTATCTGGAATTTGTAACAGAGGAAGCCAATTTCACCTCTTCCCACATAACACAAGAACTCAGGTCCACCTAGTAATACTGAAGCTCAGCAGATCCAGGAGAGATGAAAGGAAGTCCTTTCAATGCATAGTCAGTCTCTGGAGTTTAGTAAAGGTAAAGGTTCCCTTGCTCGAAAGCCAGTTGAATCCGACTCTAGGGTTGCGGTACTCATCTCCGTTTCAAAGCCGAAGAGCCAGCGCTGTCCAAAGACATTTCCATGGTCATGTGGCCAGCCTGACTCTGGAGTTTACTGCCACATAATTTATTTATTGATACCCCACCTTCCCCCCCCCCATGGTGACATAAGGTGGCTTACTGCATTCTCCTCTCCTCCATGTTATCCTCACAACAGCCCTGTGAGGTAGGTTAGGCTGAGATTGTGATCCGTTTCAAACTGCCTTTGTATTCCGTTTTAGTAATGAGTTGCGAACGGATTTTTTCCCCATCATTTCAGAGAGACCTGTTTCAGAAACTGGCTGCTAGCAGAATTTCTTGACCCGTTCACACAAACCCACTTGCGTCGGGTTAGCAAAGCGTGGTTGAGCCGCTATTGAGGGAAACTGCTTTCCCCCGCTTTCAACCCCTTTGTTGCACTACTGAACTGCTGTGGTGTGCTCTTTAAATTGTCCACAGTGCTTCCTACTGTGCTGCTTTCCCCTCCAGCCCTTTTTGGTGTAGCGCCAGTTTGGTTTGGTGGTTAATCTGGGAGAACCGGGTTTGATTCCCCACCTCTCCACATGCAGCTGCTGGATGACCTTGGGCAAGCCACAGTACTGACAAGAGCTGTCCTTGAAAGAGCACTTTCTGTCAGAGCTCTCTCAGCCCCACCTACCTCACAGGGTGTCTGTTGTGGGGAGGGGGAGGGAAAGGAGACTGTAAGCCGCTCTGAGACCTCCTCAGGTAGTGAAGGGCGGGGTACAAATCCAATCTCTTCCAACAGCTGACCCTGCCTCTTCTGGATCGGGCAGGGTATCCAATGCAAGAGTCAGGCAGTGTGAGAGAAAGCTACCGCCTTTGGATCAGACAGCTTCCTCTTCTGCCCTCACACCTTACGAGTGCGCCTCAGTGTTATTAAAAATACAACAGGCACATGTTCGAATCTGGAAACCTGGCAAACCAGACCTACTTGCGCACTTAAAACACTCATCGTTAACGGAAGAGACGTAACTCAGTGGACTCGTTTCTTACTCTTTTTCAGCTGCTGCAAACTGCTGAAGCACAGAATCTCTGTGAATCGGTCTTCGTCCGTGCCCCACTTCTTCTCACCCGCGCTGTAGAGGACCTAGAAAAGGAGAGGAAGTGGATGAACCGCCTCCTCTGGAAGGCCCGAGCTCTTTCGTCAACACTAGTAAGCCCACTGCTTTGGAATGTCCTGGCCCCACAGGTGGACCTTCTGATGGCACCTGGTATTTCTGGCCACTGTGTGATACAGAGTGTTGGACTGGATGGGCCTTTGGCCTGATCCAACATTGGCATCTCTTATGTTCTTATGTTCTTATTGAGCCAAACAATTCACACCACCGAGACTGATGAGGTGAACTCAACATCCTGGTATATTTTCCCTCCAAGGAACTCTGGAGTACGTTGGTGGTGGAAAGTGCCAGCAAGTTGCAGCTGACTCATAGTGACACTGTAGGCCCTACACAGGGGCGTAGCGAGAGTTGTGGGGCATGGGCCGTGAGTGAGGGGGCACAGCCCCTAAATGCCCCGCTGTGGCTATGGGCCTGGCCCTACAGGGTAGGGTTTTCAAGACAAAAGATGTTCAGAGGTGATTTTGCCATTGCCTGTCTCTGCATAAAGACAAGATTGCTGTCTGGGTTCAACTGGGGGAACGATAACCAGACACCAAGTTGGTAATTCTTTATATCCGTTAAAAACATCTTCACTATTTTGCATGCTGATTTGACAACTCACACCCCCCCCATACATGTACAACTGCAATCTGTAAGTGCATTCCAGTGTCTGACGAAGTGTGCTTTGACTAAATCTACCTACACGGATATGTCACGTAAGACGTGCTTCTAATTTTTGTAAGTAAAAATTTTCTTTCTCTTGTTACCATTGGAGTCAGGTCGTCATTGTATTTTGTTTTTCTCTTAACCGGGAAACTTGGAGGATCAGGGATACTGCATAAATACCTCAACATTCCTCAGGCAGAAGGAAGCCATAATGGGCTTGAAAGTACAGAGGCACCTGCTGGTGAAACCTGAAAATCCGAAATGGCAGCTGAACATGATTACCAGCAGCCAGTGCCTTAGGACTCTGCAAACTGGTGTGACCTCCTCATCAGGGGCGAAAGTCATTTGAATTTCTTACCAGTGCTGTCTCTCTTGGTGGGACTGAAGCAGAAGATCTGAGGTACAACTCTGGCTACTTAGTGGTAAATCTATGTGAGTGTAAAGCGCCATCAAATTTCCAATCAACATATGGCCACTACAGCAAGGGGCTCTCGAGACAAGCAGGAAGCAGAGGTGGTTGGCCACTGCCTTCCTCTGCAGAGTCTTCCTTGGTGGTCTCCCTTCCAAGTACCGACCCTGCTGAGCTTCTGAGATCTGTTGAGATCAGGCGATACCATGCTGCTTTCTCTCAGTGGTACTCTCTACTGGCCTGTGTCTACATACTTTCACCTATCCTACCATAACTAGCAACCACAAATGAAGCAAATATCTAAAAAATGAGTTTAGATTTGCACCAGTTAGAAGCCCCCCCCCCCCCGAAGTTTTAATCTCCCAGTTGATGCAGGTGGGGCCTGGAATAGATCCCTGCGGCAGCCATTTCAAAAGGTATTGAGGGGGGGGATTAAACCCTCCCTGAGGTGTGTTTTTTTTAACTTTTTGGATTTTTCTGCAGATCCACAGAGTCCCCTTAGTCTCTAGAAAAACCTGTTGGGGGAGAGTGTGCCCTCTGCTGGCAGAAATAAGTATCTGCACGCAGAGGGGACTATTGAGAATTAGATATATAGGATGATTTATATATGATTGGAGACTAGCATTTCACCTGACACTGTTGCATCATTGCACTGTAGTTAGAAATTTTAAGCTGTCATCCAGTATTAACTTAATGTATCTTATCTTCATAAAGTGATATGATGTTTTTATGAACTATTAATTATTGACTATGTGTTGTGAGCCACCCTGAGCCCACTTGCGGGGTAGGGCGGGAGACAAATAGAATTGATTAAATAAATAAATGCCGGATGCCCACTGCAATTCAAACTTGGAAGAAAACAGCCAGGAAATGTCCCATGAATGATGGTATTCTCCGGCCAGCTCCTTTCTAAATCGGCCTACCTGCGCATCATTCTTGGCGAGATGTGCATCCACAATTGGACTTTCACTTCTTCTGCTCTGCAATCGGAGAGAAGTGAAACGGTTAAAACAAATCACAGGGAAGTGGCACAGAACATTTTATCAGTTAGATATCACTCCGTGCTCCCGTGTCCCAGATGCGAATCAAGGAGAGACAGGGAAAGGGGCGTGGCCCAGTGCAAAATAATCTGCTTTGCACGCAGCACGTTTAAAGTCCAATCCTCATCATCTCCAGTTATAACGATCAGGTTGCATAGAATATGAAAAACCTCCCTCTGAGAAGAATACTCATTCAGAACTGAGAGGAACACGCGTCAAGAGCCTGGAAAGCAGCAGGCACCTGCAAGTGACATTGTACGGGGCGAGGCACGTGGAGCTCTGGACAGTTTGCCACGGCCGGGAGCCCAACCTAGATGAACACATGTGAAGCTGCCTTGAACTGAGTCAGACCCCTTGATCCACCGAAGTCAGTATTGTCTACTCAAACCGGCAGCAGCTCTCCAGGGTCTCAGGCTGAGTTCTTGCCCATCACCCCCTACCTGATCTTTCTGTCTGGAAATGCCGGGGACTGAACTTGGGACCTTCTACAGGCCAAGCAGAGGTGCTGCCAAAGAGCCACAGCGCCTCCCCCACGGGAGCATTCCCTGGTGGCAGACGTGCCGTGAGAGGAACGGTGTGGTTCAGTACAAAAAGTCTGCGACCCAGAGGATGAGGGAAGCGGAAGCCGGAACGTCAGGGAAAGACCTCCTAGGGCACAGGGGGAACAGTTGATCGGTGCGGCGTGCTCCGGCCAATCCCCCCAGAGGCTGCCAAAGGACTGCTTACATGCGTCAGGTTGATCAGGGCTTTCCGGAAGTTACCAGACGTGTCAGAGCTGATGTCGGTGCGAAGGCTCCGGTTGTAAACTTTAATCAGAGAAACAAAAAAAATTAAGGGGGGGGGGGGAGGAGGAGTGGTCAGTGACGTTTGCCCTCACAGAAAGTGGTAACAAAGGAAAGCGAAGAACAGCCCAGGTGGGCAGACATGAACAAAAGGCCCTTATTCTCTGGCCTCTTTTCTCCTGCCCCTTGGTCTTCTGAAGACCATCAGGCCACATCCTCACACTTCTCCTGCCGTGCACGATGACAACAGAAAGCCAGCCTGCTGTAGTGGTTAGACTGTCGGACTAGGATGTGGGAGACCCAGGTTCGAATCCATGAAAGCTTGCTGGGTGACCTCGGGCCAGTGACACGCTCTCATCCTAACCCACATCCCAGGGGTGTCGTGAGGATAAAATGGGGGAGAGGGAAACCATAAGAGTCACTTTGGGCCGCTACCGGGGAGAAAGGCGGGCGTAAATGAAGGATGGAAGTTTGTGTTGGATATTGTAACTCTGCATGCAAGAGGATCCGGAAGGGAAAGGGTTAAGAGAATTCTCTCGCTGGGGTACATGTGGCAGTTGGCCCCACCCTCTCATCGGTTAGATGTCGAGCCTCTTTGGCTGAGAGCCAGTTTGGTGTAGTGGTTAAGTGAGCGGACTCCAATCTGGGAGAACCAGGTTTGATTCCCCACTCCTCCACTTGCACCTGGCTGGATGACCTTGGGCAAGCCATAGTTCTGGCAGAGCTGTTCTTGAAAAAGGGCAGTTTCTGTCACAGCTCTCTCAGCCCGGCCTACCTCACAGGGTGTCTGTTGTGGAGAGAGGAAGGGAAAGGAGACTGTAAGCCACTCTGAGACTCTGAGTGAAGGGCAGGGTATAAATCCAATCTCTTCTGCTTTGGCTCTTGCTTGCCTTCTGTTTCATCTCATATACGACCCCTCTTCTCCTCTCTCTTACATGGGCTCGGAGCTGAAGCAAATTAACCTTTCTGAAGTTAGCCTGTTCACAGTAAGTTAAATGTACCTACATGAATATGTGCTTCTATTTTTGTAAGTAAAAATTTCTTTCTCTGGTTTCCATTGGCATCAGGTCATCACTGTAATTTCTTTGAATAGCATTTCCCCCTTAACCGGGAAATGTGGAGGATTGGGATTCTGTGAAAAGCTTCTTGTGCTTCCAAGGCAAATGGTTATTTTTTAAAAAACGTTTAACCCGATAGTTTACAGATGAGCCGGCCCACAGCTGAATGCTCGTTTTGCAGCACTTTAAACATGCTCACTTGCTCCACTTCTCAGGTTACGTAGAGCCGGTTACGCTGCCAAGACTTGCAAGAGACCTTCCGGTCTGCACGACAAAGATTTGAGTGAGGAAAGCCTGGTTTCAATGATAAGCCCGAGAGCCTTGTCGTGCAACGATGCTAAACACGGAGGTCTCGTTTACGCTCTTAGCTCCACAACACCATTAGCCAATTGCTGATTCTGGTCTGGTTTCATCCATCTGGCCCTTAGGTGTGATATATTTTTATAAAAACAAAATTTTGATTTACAAAAAAACCAACAACACTAAATTAAAGGCCCCCTAGCCAGCTGTGTTCCATCTCTAGAGGACACCACCGTGTGGTTAATGGATGATCACTCAACTCCCATGCAACGGGATGCCTTCAGGACAAGTCCATTAATGACTCAATAAGCTCGTTCTTGGCTCTCGTTTTTATTGGCGCTGCCATGCAGCCTGCCCGGCTATCTCATTAGCATACCGTGCACTGGAGCTGGAAGCGAAACCTGCCCTCCACTCCAGGCTGGGGTCTATACATCTCGCCAGGAAAACAGCCATTTATCTTCCCGATCTTAATCAAAGCAATGGCCACCCTGTGCGCTAGCTGTACCTACGCCAAGTCTATCCTTCTCTGGCTCGGCTGCATTAAGCTTCCCAATCCATCTCGGTCAGCTCCTCTAGAGCTCCAAAATTCACGTGTCTGAAAAGCGGAAGACTCCCCCTCCGGGAACCACCTAAGAACGAAAGCAATTTGGGATGGACTTGGGGGGGGGGAGGGGAGGAACATGAGAAGTGAATTAGTCACCTATATACTAATAGCGAAAGGCGCCCCCTGTGTGCGGATATCTAAATCCGCACATCGGGGGCACCTGGGGGGCAGGGAGATTTCCCTGCACACGTGGGGCAATGCCCAGGTGTGCACAAAAATCTGAAAAGGTGAAAAAAAATATTGGGAGGATATTTAAATCCCACCAAAAGTAAAAGAGCGTCCCCTGCGCATGCGCAGGGAACGCTCTGCAAACTGCCTCGCCACCGCCACAGGGGACAGGAGGGTGGGAGAAGGCTTGGTGGGTTGGCCTCACCACCACTGCTGCTGTGGAGGGAGGAAGGGGGAAGCTTGGCAGGCCAGCCAGCCTCGCCGCTGCTGGGGAGAGAGGAAGGGGGAGGCTTGGCAGGTCGGCCGGCCTTGCTGCCGCTGCTGGGGAGGAAGGGAGAGTGAAGCTTGGCCGGCCGGCTGCTCGGGAGGGAGGGAGGAAGGGGGAAGCTTGGCGGGCCGGCCTTGCTGCTGGGGAGGGAGGGTGATGCTTGGCGGGCTGGAATACTCCCCCCCGCAAGTATCGCTTCGGAGCGGGGGGGGGGGGGGGCCCGAGGAGGCCTGG